TTCAGACTACCACAGTGGGGACCGTCTCATTCAGACTACCACAGTGGCACAGGCCGCCACCCTTGCATTCGGGACGCAGAAGTAGGAATCAGAAACTCAAGGCCATCTTTGCCTAAGCATGGAGCGGCCTGGGCTGCACGAGGCTGTCTTAGGAAAGGGGAGACAAAGAGAAAGGAGACAAGCTACATGTGCATCTTTCTAGTCCCCCTGTTTGCCGTTCTCTCCTCACTGCAGTTTCTTTCTTCATGGAACCTAGGAAAGGACATAGCAAGTAGGAATAGGCATAAACGTGGTGAGATGAGCTTGTAGGTGGCAAAGCTGAGATTTGGGCTGTCGTGGCGGTGCTTCCTGGGTGGTCTGTCGGGGGTCGGTTTTAATTCTCCCCGTCCCCGTTTCTAGGTACCTGGTGACTCACCTCATGGGGGCAGACCTGAACAACATCGTGAAGTGCCAGAAGCTCACGGATGACCACGTTCAGTTCCTCATATACCAGATCCTCCGTGGGCTGAAGGTACGGGCAGTAGCAGGGTCGTTTGGGGACGTGAGTTCTCCTTTCCTTTCTAGTAAGGACTCAGAACTGTTTTTCTTATGAAAAACGTAGAGTTACAGACTCGGCTAACCCTGCTCTGCTCCTCCTGTATTTCTCAGGCCACACTTTACTATAAAGCAAATGTTATATCGTCCTCTCCCTTGATTCTTTAGTCTGAATATCCGAGGGGAGGTTGTAGTCACGTGGAAAAGTTAGTAGCATCTTGATCAGTGCAATACTAAGGTTCTAAAATGCTCCTCCAGCCTAGGCTGGCCTTTATGTCCCCACCCCAGACTTGAGAGGCAGAGAAAGGAGGGCACTATGGGCTGTAACGAGTGCCAGGCCATCCAGGGTTGAGTAGTGAGATGGGGCTGGGGTTTCTCCACGGAAGCTAATTGAATTGTGGGACGGGCTGGTAAGCTGCTTTAGAGCTAAACCACCTTTGATATTAGCACACAGAACTCTTACTGTGGTCATCGGCAAGAAAGAAGACAGGTTGACAACTCCAGGAGGTGGAGGGGGATTATAGTTAGTGTAACGACCCACAGTGAGCGCGAGCCAGGCTCACGGGCTGAGGGAGCCCAGCCGGGCTCTAAGATGTGGCACTGAAAAGCTGAAGATGCCTTCATTCAACTGACTTTCTTCTTTTTTGCAGTATATACACTCAGCTGACATAATTCACAGGGTACGTATGTGCCTTAGGTGGTAATTACTTTGGTGGTGTGGGCGGCCTCTTTCAGAGATCTCAGCCTTGGCCTATAGCTATTGAAATAGTGACTGGCTGGAACCTTACTGTCTGTAGTCGGGTAGAGGAGCACTTGCTGTTATGCCTGCTCAGGGCTGATTTGGCTCGGAGACTGACCATAGCTTGGAGGTCTGCCCATCTCTCTGAGGCCTTCCATGGGTCTGCACCCTCAGGACGGATAGGCAGGCACTCGAGGGCATCATCAGGTTGATCCTGTTCTCTCTGCTTCTTTCCTAGGACCTAAAGCCCAGCAACCTAGCTGTGAACGAAGACTGTGAGCTGAAGGTAAAAGAGAGAGATGGAACTGTCTGCTTCCCTTTAAGCATTCCTGAGCTGGCCAGCCAGACTTAGAGAAAATGATTTATAAGCCATGACTTTTTATCTGAAAAGGCATTTGTCCTTAGGGAATATCAGTCTGTTGAACTAGGCTAAGCAAGCTGTTTAAATGGCCTTGGAAGTAGATTTTGGTATCTTGTTTTCATTCCTTAAAGAAAGTTAAATTAGAAATATAACATGTTAATTGTAATAAAGGGGTATTGTAGTCTAAATGTCAATTACACATTTCTGGAACACTCATTGTTAAATTGGTTTCTAAACTCAGAATGATCCAAATAAGATCATTAAGTGAATTAGCTATCTGTAAAAAGTAAGTAAGTAACATTACATTTTTTAAAATGAATTTTTGAAAAAATAACATGCAGGTGGCTGGAGAGGTGGCTCCTTTCTCAGCACCTGCATGGTGGCCACAACCTTCGGAATCTGGAGGATCTGATGCCCAGCTTTGTCCCCGTGGATACTGTATACTCTTGGTGCACAGATAGACATGCAGGCAGAGCACCCATACACATAGCATTAAAAATGAAAAATCAAAAACCAGTGGAATACATGATTTTAAACTGACGTCTTTGTAGGGTTTCAACGTCCATGTTACTACAGTTGTGACATAGTAATCTCCAGAGCTTAAAAAGGGTCCAAGTGTCCCTCCTGGTAACCTCACCCCTCATCCTTCACCCTGATGCAGGCCGCCGTCGATGATTTGTGACACTGGATTGATGTTGTATAGTATTTCCTAAAAGTGGAGTCGCATGACACTGTATTATATTCTTCCTCTGTGCTTCAGGGTTCTCATTTGGTTGCTCAGCTGTGTTCTGTTTCACAAGTGTGCAACACTTGTACCCGTCTCCCTGTGGAACACTTGGCACTGTTGTAGTTTGGGATCTGAACTGTCTCGGGCATCCCCGTGCAGACCTGTGTGGCCGTGGTTCTGCTCTTCCTGGTGGGGACTGTGTGCTTTGCTGGCAGCTTCGTTTTTATTTTTACTTTATTTTATTTTATTTGGTTTTTCAAGACAGGGTTTCTCTTTGTAACAGAGCCCTGGCTGTCCTGGATTTTGTAGACCAGGCTGGCCTCGAACTCACAGATACCCGCCCGCTTCTTCCTCTGCCTCCGCCTCCACCTCCGCCTCCTCAGTGCTGGCATCAAAGGTGTGCACCACCACACCCGGCTGCTGGCAGCTTTGTTTTTAGGTTGTTGGAGTGCATTGGCCATGCATTATAAAGGAAGACCCTGTTTTCTTTGTCATGAGGTGGCAGAACTTGCTGCTCATGTGCTTGATCTCTGCTCTCACCCTTAGATCCTGGATTTTGGGCTGGCTCGGCACACTGATGATGAGATGACAGGCTACGTGGCTACCAGATGGTACCGGGCTCCTGAGATCATGCTCAACTGGATGCACTACAACCAGACAGGTGCTGCTCCGGTCGCCTGTCCAGGCCTGACCCACACACGGGAGGGGGGCTCTTCAGCCTGGCATTCAGATGCTGGCAATCGGGGCCTTCCTTCTTAAGGTTTCCCTGTCATTCTCCCTGTACCTCTACCAGAGGAGAGTGGACTCTAATCTTAACACCCCAGTGTTTCCTGGGAGGATCTGTGACTTTACCAGTAAAAAAGCTTTCCCCATAGTGAGGGGAAACTTATTCTGCTTATTTTAACTGTATTCTGATTTGTATGACCTACGGAACCCTTCATTGTGTGACAGTTTTAATAAGCTTATTTATTTCTATAAAAAATGATTGTTGAACCTTGGGTATCTTAAATGTTTATTCAAGTCATTCACTCCCAACTAGAGTCCAGTTTGTGGTCGTGAATGAACAGAAACCATGCCTATGCTTGTGTTCTCATTACTATTCTAGTGGATATTTGGTCCGTGGGCTGCATCATGGCTGAGCTGTTGACCGGAAGAACGTTGTTTCCTGGTACAGACCGTATCCTTTAACACGTTTAGCCCTGGTTCTCATCTGTGTTCGGCTTTCACGGATGTGCATTTCCCTTACTTACCTGGGAAGACTCAGTTCTTTGCTTTGCAGTTCAGGCATTGCTTTTGAGGTCTGGCTTCTTGTTGAAAAGCTCACCTTGCCAAGAAAAAGCGTTGGGGGTTGGGAAAACAAGCTTAAAACTCACCTGTCATCTTTTGCAGCGAGTCCTTTGTTAATGAGTTTACTCTCCTTGAGCAGGCCCTTGGCAAGCATGCAGGTGTCTTGTTCTCACATTGGCTTATGTACTTACACGGGCTACAGGCCCCAGTACGGACACGCCTGCTGACTCCTGTCCTATGTGCTGCTTACAGCCAACGGTAGAAGTGAGAGGAGAGAGGCCCCGTTGTGTGCTTGTGTTTCTGGGTGGAACAGCCCATTTGAGTCCCGCCCTTACCACCATTTGGGCTGCTGGCACCAAAGAGCTGTTGAGTCTGCTGGATGCTGTTCCTTGGCTTAGCAGTAATATCATCAAATACAGTGTGTGGGAACTTCCAGCAGCTCTGCTTGGGGCAGGTGTTTAGGCAGAATGTTAAAACAGATGGTTAAAAATCAGTCTTCAGAGGCTGGAGAGGTGGCTCAATGGTTAAGAGCACTTCCCACTCTTCCAAAGGACCTGGGTTCAATTCCCAGCACACATGGCAGCTCACAACTGTCTGTAATGCCAATTCCAAGAAATACGGAACCTTCACACTAATGCACATAAAATAAAATTAAATAAATGATCTTAAAAATTATTTAATTAATAAATTATTATCTAATAATTTATTATTTATTAATAAATAAATAATTTTTAAAAATCAGTCTTCAGGAGGGGCTTTTGCAAAACCTGTGTAGCCTGCAAATGGTTTTGGTTGCGCTCATAGAAATACCACAGCAACTCGTACTTCATCATCTGCCTTCAGGATTGGCACTTGCCGAACCACCTTGAGACTGTAAGCCCTCTCGCTGACAGCTTGGGCTGCCTTTCTCCAGTGACTGATGCCAGGGTGTCTGTCCTGACAGTTTTCTGCTAGACAGGGTCTTTCATGAAGTGAAACCTCTGCTTCGCAGGTAATGCTGTCTGCTCCTCTGCGTGTTGCTGGACCGGGGCCCAGTCTCCCTGTGCAGCTCACTGTTCCTCTCCGCTTGAGGTTCTCACCACCTGGAATGTCTCCCTTCCCTTGAGAGTTTGCTCTACTGTATTACAGTCCAAGCTTGAGATTAGGGAGGGTTTATGGCGTCCTCATGCTGTCCTCTGGGCCTATCCTGAAGCTGCCCTCAGTTCTCTTCCCTTCCTTGTGGTGTCTCTCCAGCTGCGTAGACACACATACCTTCATAGACAGACAGACAGAAACGTCTGTAGGGAAGCTTCTCAGTCCCTTGCTTTTGTAGTCTGGGTATTCACAGTTAATAGCCTACGCCCTGGAACTTAGACTCTAGCTTTTTTAATTTTGGACTATGTGGCTTTGATCAAGTTTTCCAACCCCTGTTTCTCTGTTTCCTTAACTATAAGATGGCATTAGTGTACAGCTGAGAGGATGGTTGTGAGAATTTACTGAGACCAGAGTCACCAGGAAGTGCTTGCATCATCCTCACCAGTAGCTGTGTCAGCCATTTGTCATGGGCACAGATAACTGAGAGATTTATTTTGGCGCGTGGGTTTAAAAGTTTTAGTCCATGGTAGCGGGAGCTTGTGGCAGAGGAGCTTGTTCACTTCCTGGTGGCCAGGAAGCAGGAGAAAGAGCAATAGAGAAGGTGGGGGAGAGGAAAGCAGACACGAACAAAATACCATTCTAGGACATATTGCCAGTAACCTGCTTCCTCCCACCGGGCCCCACCTCCTGATGTTCCCAGCACAAAAAATAGCATCACAAGCTGGGGATCAGACCTTAGTAGGAGACAGTTGAGGGCTGTACTGTTAACACCCCATCCCTAGCCGCTGAAGGCCACAGTCGGCATATAGTGCAAAGTGTGTTCAGTCCCTGTTCAAGAGTCTAGACACTCCTGAGGCTCTGAGACTCAAGGCAAACTCTTAGCTGCTAGCCCCTGTTAAAATCGGAAAACAAATGGCACACTTCCAGTGGTCAGTGTCATAAACATTTTCATCCAAAAGGAAGGAAGGACCAGACCAAAGCTAGGGGAAGGTCAGCATTAACATTCCATAGTTCCACATCCATCTTCGAAGGCTCAGGATGATATAGCAGCTGATTTCCGAAGGGCTTAAGCAGCCCGGCTCCTGTGACCATGCTGGATGCAGCCACATGGCTTCTATGGCTCCCTGCCTGGAGCGCCATCAGAGTCCACGCTCTGGGTACTCACTTCTGGGGCCTCTTGCATCGTTAGCTTCACCCTTACAGCTTCATGAGTCATGCTCTCAGGCCATTCACGGCGAATCCAGCCCTGGTGACCATTGCCCAGCTGCCCTTGGAAATCTGGTGGACGCCTCTTCCACCCCTTAGTTCACCCCTTGGGTTCTGCATGCCTCCTGAAACCACTGTGTCAGTGAGCTGAGTAGCTGAGCACTGCGACGGAGTCCTGGGAGGACCACTTCCTAACTGGTCCTTGGTGGGGGAGGGGGTCTGGGGCCTCCTCTCTACGGCGTTGCTGGCAAGTTTATACTTTGCATCCTGGGCCTATCGCGGTTAGGGGTCTCTCCAATTTCCAGTGTCTCTGGTGTCTTTCCTATCTTCTCTGTAAATTCTTTCTGTCACTGGTCGTAGGCATTTGTTTTATTTGTGTGTGTGTGTGTGAGAGAGAGAGAGACAGTCTTTGTGGTCCATGCTGACCTAGAACCCACTGTGTATCTTAGGACAGCCTCAGCCTCAAAATGCTCCTCTTGCCTTGGCCTCTTGAATACCAATGACTAAGCCTCCTTGCTTGTTTTTTTTGTTTTGTTTTTATTTGTCTTGTTTTTAAATTTCATTTTTATTTTATGTGCATTAGTGTGAAGGTGTCAGATCCCTTGGAATTGGCGTTACTGACAGTTGTGAGCTGCTGTGTGGGCGCTGGGACTTGAACCCAGGTCTTTTGGAAGAGCTGACAGTGCTCTTAACCACTGAACCATCTCTCCAGCCCTCCATGCTTGTTTTTATGCTGTGCCGGGCCTGAACCCAGGGCTTTCTGCATGCCAGGCAAGCACTGTACCAGCTGAGTAACATCTGTAGCCAGTGATGTCTCAGTAATTCTGCCAGGCTGGTGTTTTGAGTAAAACTAGGAGTTAACCCACCTGAGTTTACTTTTTGTTTCTCTTTCTTTCTCTTTTTAATTTGGTTTTTTGATACAGGGTTTTGCCTTGTCTGTCCTAGACTCACTTTGTAGACTTTGTAGACCTTGTAGATGGGGCTGGCCTTGAATTCACTGAGATCTGCCTGCCTCTGCCTCCCCGAGTGCTGGGATTACAGCTTTGTGCCACCACACCTAGTTACCCGAGTTTAATTTTAACTGGGTGAACCTGAAAGAGTTAGTTTAGCGGACCTCTTTCATTTTCTTTAAGGTCCTGATGAGTCAGGAAGTTGTCTTCACTGTCCTGTTCTCTGGTTTCGGGAACTCTTTTCAAAGTCTGGTGAGCATGCTGAGCCCGCACCAGCCAGCCTGAGAGACCTGAGGCTCTGGCCTGTGCGGTTCGTAACACGTCACTGCTGAGACAGGCGGCAGCTGCTCCTCACTGGGTTTACGTGTGTCTCACCTTTAGTTGTTGTGCCTTTGAACTGGTAGTCCTAGCTTGTAGCCGAGAACTGCCTGTCTTTTTGAGGCGTTGTAGATGTGTGATGTGTGTACTTTTCCTGTATGTGGCTCACAGTCACGGGCCTGTGTGGTTAGTGCAACCTGATGACTGATTTCAGTTTTCTGGGAAAGCAATGCAAAACTCGCTACTTTTACTTCTGCTGTGATAGAGTTTCCATTACGAAGTTAACCTTCTCAACAATTTTATTACAGCCTAACGGCATTAATTACCTTCATGATGTTGGACAGTCATTGCCACTAACTATGCTTATGGCTTAGAAAAAACCCTTCCATTGCGTGGTAAGAGTGTTTATAGTAATTGTGTGAAGGCTGTACGTGTCAAGTGAGTTAAGCTGATGGAACTCTTATCAAAAGAGGGAGACTGCATGCATCCCCAAGGAACTTATTCCAGATGCCACCAGTTTTGAAATGTATGAGTCACTTCGGTGTTGGAATCACTGACACCAGCACTTCAACTGAAGAACAGTTGTGTAGCCTTTTCCTTGTGTGGCTCCAGTATAGACAGAACGTTTTTCTACCAGAGATCACAGTCTTGTTATTTTCCATTCCTGTGTAGTCGAATGAATTTCCTTCGTGCATAAAAGACACGGTACTCTTTTAACCTCTGAGCCATCTCTCTAATCCTAACATGGTACTCTCAAGATGTGAGCTGTGGTCTGGAGAGACAGCTCAGCAGCTAAGAACATGGCTGCTCTTCCAAGGGACTCATTCTCAAATCCCAGCACCTGCATGATGGTTCACAGTCAGCTCTTTCTCCAGCCAGAGATCCACTACCTTCTTTTGGTCTCCGGGCACCAGGCACACACAGGGTGCAGAAATGCCCACAGGCAAACACTGATAACATAAAAACAGTCTGATGGCCCTGTGTCTGTTCCTAGAGGATGAAGTAGAGTGTGTGGCTGAGCAAACACTAGTGTGCCCACCGTATCACAGCTGCCTGTTGCTTTCCATTGTTGGTCTCCTGTACTTTCCTCGTGTTTTGTTTGTTTTCTTTTCTTAAACCAAGGGAGGCTTGTGTGTGCTAGGCAGAGACTGCACCGCTGAGCGGCAGCTCCAGAGTCTTCCTCATTTTGGAAAGCTGCCTCAGTGGCTAAGAGCTCTGCAGAAAGCCAGAGTTAAGTTTCTGGCATGTCAGGCGTTTCCCAGCTGCCAACACTTCAGATCCTCTGGCCTGACTGCACACACAGACACAAATACATGAATTAAAAAAAAAAAAAAAAAAATGT